AGGTAATGGTACATCGTCCACATTCTCCAGTCACAAGCTGGAAGGTAATGGTACCTCGTCCAAGTTCTCCAGGCGCTAGCTGGAAGGTAATGGTACCTCTGATTTTAAGCGTGGTATATAACACCAATTACCTTAATACAACAAAGCATAAATAACAAGTGTAATACATACACATAAACTATTCAATAATGTTTAACCAACACAAGTGTAACGCATACATCACAATTCAACACAACAATGTCATCCACCACCGATGACCAAGGACAAAACCTCTAGATGCATGTATTCAGTACACCTAATAAAAGAGACTTAACTCTCAAGCAAACCTTAAACCCAACAACGACACTAGTACGATAGGCAAGGATAAAACCCCCAAATGTGTGTATTCAACACTTATGATACAATAGTTCAATTCTCAAATTTATTTTCCGAGACTCACATAGAGTTAACATTTCATTTCCCATTTTCAAGATCAACTTTCATAATTTTTTTCAAGTCAACATGTTCCATCACTTATTCCAAAAACACTTTTCCCTTTTCACAAAACTAATTACACTCTCTTCATTTTACAAAATCAGTTCCATGGATAATAAAGCCATAACCCAACTTGATTCAATACGTTCATTTCAAAATAACCCCAATACCATAATTAATCCCTTAACTGTTAACACCTTCTACACAACTCATATTAACAATAGAAATTTACCAACATTGTTCAACCATAAACCCTTTTTATTTTACCAAATCAAAATATAATTTAGGGTTTTCTCTTCTTTCAACAATAACATGCTAATTTTACTCTCTAATTAGTCTAAACCACAGTCAATGATAAAAAAACCATTCCCAAACAACCAATCCTAGGTTTCCCTCATGATTTTCAAACAAATCCAACACGGATATAATTTTCATGCAATACAAAACTACCACATGTCTATCTATAGACGGAGTATTGAAAAAGAACAAAGAAATCCCTACCTCAAATGGAGAGACCAAATGGAGAAGATGAAGGATGTCGAAGGTGCTCCAAACCCAATAATTTTCGAATCAAAATGAAGAGCAAGCCATCCCTTCCTCTTCCTCTCAAGATTTCTCTCTTGTTCTCCTTTCTCTCCTCCCTTATGAAAATGCTTACTCTCACCCTAAACACTTTTAATCTAAACTCAAAATCTGAAAAAAAAAATGGAGAGAGATATGGGAAGAACCATAGAAAGAAGTTGAGAGGTGAGCTCAATTTATAGGCAACCTTGATGTAGTTGGTATTAAAAGGTTGTTATTAAAGCCCATTAATTGGAAAATGAAAGGACAAGTTAGAATTAAATGAACACTAATTGGAATTAAATGAACACTAGTTGGAATATGAATGGATCACTAGTTTGAAAAATGAATGGACACTAATTGGAATTGAATGAACCATTATAAAAATTTAATGGACACTAACCCTTGGTTTCCAAACACAACCAACCTGTTTTAAACCTACCCAACACAACCCAAGACTCATATACAAAGAGTAAAGGATGGAAACGGGAAAAAGACAACAACACATCCACGGAACCGAACCCGAAATACAATTAAACAATGGAGGGAAAACCAGGATTGCTATAGACAACCTTCGGCCATCATTTTTCAATTCTGGCCACTGGTTCGTAGAGCCCCTTCATTATCACTGGCCAACCACCCAATTCCAGTCGACCTCCCACTCTGACGACTTTCTTCTAGTTCCGATCATTCATTCACAATCCTTCTTGTCCCTCTCTAGCCCTTCCCCAACCTCTAACGCCATGCCATAACCCTTCTTCAACCTCCAGCACCACCTACCAGCCCCTTCTACAGTTCATAATTGTCGTTGCATCACCAGCATCCCCTTACTTCTACAACTTGCAAAATACCCATCATTCTTCCCACCGCTCTCAGCTTGCACAAACCCTCTTTAACTTCACTGCCCTCTACTTGCCTAACCCAACCCCCTACTTCTACAACTCGCAAAACCCTAGATTTTAGATCTAGGGTTTTGGTGAAGAAGAAGGAAAAAGAGGATGAGGAAAAGAAAAAAGAAAGAGAAGGAGACGAGAAGATATGAGAGAGGTGAACGACAATAAGAGGAGGTGGGTGTTGACAGGCGGCGATAGAGAAAGATCTGGCTGTGGCAGTGAATCCGGCACAAGTAAATGAAAATGATAGAAGTGAGATTCATTGAGTGCTTTGGAGTGTCTAACAAAAAGCATTTAAAATTAAAATTGGAGTATTGAAAGTAATTGAATCTCCAACTTAACTTTTAGGGTGCATTTAGTGCCACCCCTTAACAGTGGCAGAGGTATAGAGGGTCTGGGGAGGGGCTCACGTGCCCTCTTGGGTTTTGGATTTTTTTTTTTGTGCAAACATAAAGGAAATATTTTAAATAAAAAAATTTATAAAAATATTATTTAAAGTGAAATGTCAATGACATTTTTAAAATTATGAAAACAATAATAATTGTTTTGATTGAAAATAAAAAGATTACGATAAGTCATATTATTATCTATGAAAATTTCAATATAATGGTGACGTCTATAATTATTGACATGCAAACATAATTAATCTCAATGAATATATGAAATTTATTAGATTGTTAATTACATTTGACATGAGCGATTCATCCTTCATGTGTTTCTTTACTATTGGTTGGTGATGATATCACATGTCAATGATGACGTGATAATTTTTACTCGAATTTTATATAAAAAATTACTTTATTGTTATATAATTTATTTTAAAACTTATATCTATAACTTTTTTTATATTGTCATGATACGCTAATTACAAATAATATTATTTTTTTTTTATCTTTTTTGAATTTTTTTTTTTTTTTCCAGCGAACAAATAATTTTTCAGTTCGTTTTATCGAGCTGTTTTGAAAATGTCACTAATAAATAGACTCTTAGGGACAAAATAATTTGTTTTCAAAATGGTTTACTTTTTGAAACAAAAAATTTGGTCTCAAAAGATAATAATTTATCACTAATATCTAATTTTCGTTGTTAAAAATATAATAATGACTGTTTTCGTAATAAGAATATTTGGTCCCTAAAAAATAATTTTGTCTCTGAATTTTGGTCTCTAAAATTTTAATTTTTCGTAGTGTAAGTTTATGGAATGACATTGACATCTATTGTTAACATGTTAGAAAATGTTTGAGACCTAAAAAATTATTCACAATTCTACTTTTTGATTTGTTATACATATACACTTAATGATGGTGAGTCCAGCTCAATGCAATAATATTATGGATAAATTTATAGATATAAATATCTGAATCTCTAACATTACATATTTGTCAAACTCAATAAATAAAAAATTGTAAAAAATAGAAAGAGAGAATTACCGTCACTTTTATGTCTGATAAAATAAAAAAATTAAGATTTTGGGATAAACTAAATTAATTGACTTGTATATTTTTATAATATTAAGGTTACCTATAAAAATCAAAATCGAAATCAAAGTCGCTTTCATCTCTCTATTTTACCTTCTTTGATTTCTTGTCTATGCAAACATAATGGTTAAGAGGAGAAAAAAAAAAAAAAAAAAAAAAAAAAAAAAAAAAAGATGAAATACTTACATCCCACAACTTTATTGATACACACAATACAAACTCTACCAAAATGCGAACAAAAAGGCAACAACCTTAACAAAAAGCTAACAAAAAGCCATCGTAAACAAAACCCTACCAATAAATCAAAAAAAAAAAAAAAAAAAAAAATTATTTGCAAACCAATAGCAATGTAAGTATGTCTCTAATAAAGTGCAAAGGAAAAACTTTACACTCCATTTATTAGTATTTTTTTTTTCTTCTATCTCGTACGTATAGTTCCCCTTAAATAAAATCCATTAGAGGATAAGAAGGAGAATTGTATCCATGCATGGATTTTGACTATTCCTTAATAGTTGATTGCTCAAAAGTATTTGATGCGCACGTAATTGAATTTTTTTTTAATTTAAAAAATTTACTCCGAAAAAGTCAAATTTATTTGTTTTTATTATATAGATTCTTCTACTATTAATTATATTAATTTTATATTAGAGTTACTATTTAAATTGGAATCAAATTTGACCTTGTCTACAATTAGATAAAATTTATTGGCTTTACCCCATATACTCTTCGTTAGAAGAAAAATAAAGTGTTTTCTGCCTAAAATACTTCATTTTCTTATGAAAGAAGGGTATGGGGAGCAAAGTTACCATATTCTGGATCATAAATGATATATGATTACCATGAGTTGTACTATAGGTTGTTTTCATCAGTAAAAAGATTCTTCTTTTATTGATATTAAAAAAAAAAGCATGTGAGTAGCACGAGTCAAATTGATTATATTAGAATTCTTTATAAGAGCTCCAAATCAAAATTAAAGACATCTTTGGTAAAAAAAAAATTTTTTTTGAGAATATGTGTATTTTTTTAAGACAAATATGTTTTCATATGTGGTTACAATTGTCTGATCAATTTAGTTTTTTTATGAGTAATTTATTGAGTGGGACTTAATAAAATTAAAGGTTCAAATTATTAAAATGAGTCTCATGGTAAGGTTACAACCATAAACACCTCTAGGGTCAAGACTTAGGGTCTAGAGATATGTTATTTTCATGATCTCATTTTCAAAACAATTTAAATGCAAATAATTTATTGAGTGAATTAAATTAATACACATGAAAAGTGAATTAAAGGGGATGAAATAAATCGATAATAAATAACATTTTTAGTTTGCATATTATCTTACTCTAAACAATACATAAACTTATAGGCGTGGTTCAGTTGTAAAAAAAAAAAAAATAAAAAATCACAATTTAAACACCATAATCAATAAGTAGTCCGAATATTTATTTCTTTGTGTTTATATATATTATGACATTTGTACTTTGTTTACATGTTATTTGTACTTTGTTTACTTGTCATTCTCACCCACCCATAGATTCAACTCAAGCCAACCTGTCACCAATCTTCATTTCAACTATATAAAGACGCACCCCTTCACAGCCTAGAGAACCAAGAAACACAAACCACCCAACAATGGCAACCAAGTTTGAAATATTCATACTATTCATATCTTTCTCTTCATTGTTTTGCTCTGCTTTGTCGAGTCTCAGCTCTGATGACATAAATCAGTGGTGCGACAAAACCCCATACCCGGAACCATGCAAGCACTTCATGAGCAATGGCTCTCACAATTTCGCACCCAAAGAAAAATCCGAGTTCAGAAAGATGGCCATGCAAATAGCCATGGAAAGAGCTCTCAAAGCCGAGACTCACACTAAGTGGCTTGGGTCTAAATGTCGGAATGAGCGCGAAAAAACTGCATGGTCTGATTGTTTAAAGCTCTATGAGAGTACAATTCTTCAACTCAACCATACTCTAGACCCCAACACAAAATGTTCCGATTTTGACGCTCAGACGTGGCTCAGCACGGCTTTGACAAATCTTGAGACTTGTCGAGCTGGGTTCATCGAGTTGGGTGTCTCAGACTTCATGTTGCCTCTTATGTCCAACAATGTTTCAAAGCTAATCAGCAACACTTTGGCCATTAACAATGGCTCAAACGAGAAACAAACGTATAAAGAAGGTTTTCCCACTTGGGTTTCACCTGGAGACCGTAAGTTGTTGCAGTCGTCGTCTCCAGCAGCGAATCTCGTGGTGGCTCAAGATGGTTCGGGAAATTACCGGACCATTCAAGCAGCCCTTGACGCGGCGGCGAAGAGAAGTGGCAGTGGGAGGTTTGTTATACGTGTGAAAAGTGGTGTTTATAAGGAGAATATTGAGATTGGCAACAAAATGAAGAATATTATGCTTGTTGGTGATGGCTTGAAAAACACCATTATCACTGGTAGTCGAAGCGTGGGAGGAGGTTCCACTACCTTCAACTCTGCAACTGTTGGTAAGTATCCCTCTTTGTCGTCATTTCTTTGTTGGTTTAATTTGTCTTTGACATATTTTTTTTATATTGGGTTTGAATCATAAATTAAATATATATTTATTTAGAAACAGAAAAACAAAATATAGATAAAATATAATTATATTTTGGAAAATGCTATGGACCTCAAACAAATTACCAAATTTTCTACCAAACCTCTCACATGGGTGTGGCATCCACACAAATCAAATGTGTATGGGTCTCACACCCATGTGAGAGATTTAGTAGAAAATTTGATAATTTGTTTGGGATCCCTAGCATAACTCAAATAAATATTTATGACAAAATTCGAACAACTGTTATTTTGACCACACTAATTAGTTACAAAAAATACAAGAGTGCACAAGGATACCGTTCCAGTTTGGGTTGATGTGGGTGATGTTCAGAATAATAGAAAAGTTAGGGATTATAAATTTTTTTTTATGAAAATGATCATGAAATATTTATGATCCTTAGATTATCTTGATTAGTGTGTAGTGATTTATTCTAAGTGTAATCCAAAGGTCACAAAACTTTCATGATTATTTTCATGAAAGGTTTTTTATGATACCCAACATTGCTGTCAGAATAAATAGGATGCATAAAATTCAAATGTTAGCACTTTTCTATTTAATTTATTTTATTTTTATTTTTGAAACACACCGCATTATGAACAATTAAGGCAATGGCATTCTCTCCGGTCTTTATTTGTAGTAGAGAGGCGCTATTCAGACCTGTGAGACTTATTATAGGTTCTATTTCGATGATCATAGTCATTTATTTTTTAGAACTCTTTCTATACATCATCCATAAAAAAAGTTAAGTCAATCCAATAATTGTAATATCTTTATTTTATCGTATTTGTTTATAAAAATAAAATAAAATAAACGGCAAGTGTATTTTGAAAATAAACTATTCATTTTTTTAAAGACATACGTGATAAAATAAAAATATTACATTTATCAGAATGGTCTAGTTTTTATATGGATAATATACAGAAAGAGTACTAAAATATGAACTAGTTAAATTATCAAAATAAAACTTGTGATGAATCTCTCTCCAATCTAAATAAAGGTGGGAGAGAATCTCATCCCAAAAGTCCCTTTAGAGGCATCAACCTTCCAGCTTAGGCTAACATGAAAAAATATTTAAGACACGTAGAAAAAGATGACATAAAATTGATTGTTAACTACTATATTGAATATAAAGGAAAGATCATACAACTTTTCATTATTCTGGTTTCTTTGAAAAGTAATTTTGTTTAACTTATTAAATTTCTAATTGTTTTGGCCGTTTAAGAAAAATTTGACAATTTTAAATTAAAAATAAAAAATTACTATGACTTTCAGCTATCAATGGTGATGGATTTTTTGCTGGTGGCTTTTTTTTCCACAAGCTGATTGCATAGATGTATACAAAATCAATTTATAATGCCTATATTTTCTGAACAAATTAAATATCTTTTTTCAGATATTATAAAGTCATCTGTTCCTCATTGTCAAAGTTGCTATCATTATGAAAGCTAGGTGTTTGAATTAGTTCAATTTTATTTATTTACCGTATGAAAATTTAACCTCTCTAGAAGCATTAATATTTCTTGGCTAATTAGTCTAACATGCTCATTAATTTGAAAGAACAAATAAAGAAATTTACAACAATAGTTAGAGATAACATTTCAAACCACAGAGTAAAACATTACTGATTATTTGCTATCATTATGAAAGATACGTGTTTGAATCAGTTCAATTTTATTAGAGTCTGAAAATTTAACCTCTCTAGAAGCTTGAATATTTCTTGGCTAATAAGTCTAACATGCTCATTAATTTGAAAGGACAATTAGAGAAATTCACAACAATAGTTAGAGATAACATTTCAAACCATAGAGTGATAAAACATTACTAATTATAGACAACACTTTTGATTTGCAGCGGTTACCGGTGGAGGATTCATTGCTCGTGAAATAACATTTCGTAACATAGCTGGACCACAAAATCATCAAGCTGTAGCACTTCGGTCTGGCTCTGATCTCTCTGTTTTCTACCGTTGTGGCTTTGAAGGATACCAAGATACACTATATGTTCATTCTCAACGACAATTTTACAAAGAATGTTATATCTATGGCACAGTAGATTTTATATTTGGAAATGCGGCAGTTGTTTTCCAAAATTGCATGATATATGCTAGAAGACCCATGAACAAGCAAAAAAATACTATAACAGCGCAAGGGCGAACTGACCCTAACCAAAATACTGGCATTTCAATTCATAATTCTCGAGTTATGGCTTCATCTGACTTAAAACCAGTACTTAGCTCATTCAAGACATATTTGGGACGACCTTGGAAGCAATATTCACGTACTGTTTATCTACAAACTTATTTGGACACTTTGGTTGATCCAGCAGGCTGGTTAGAGTGGGATGGTAACTTTGCTCTAAATACTTTGTATTATGGAGAGTATAAGAACTTCGGCCCCGGTTCGTCAACTAGTGGCAGAGTAAAGTGGCGTGGTTATAGAGTTATATCTAGTGCAACTGTAGCATCACAATTCAACGTCGCAAATTTTATAGCCGGTCGATCATGGTTGCCTTCCACCGGTGTACCATTCTCTTCTAGTCTTTGATAGTGTTGTATTTGATCAATTCCTTTGTTTGTTATTGTTTTGTTCTTTTAATCTTTCCATATTCCTACATAAGAAAGGAAATTTCACCCAATAAAATATAATATGATTTTTTTTTCTTTCATTTCCATGTAATATAGAACATTTATTTGTGATTTCTTTCTCTCTAACCTAAGACAAACAGAAGAATTTCAAACCCACAATTGGATTCCCACAGATGGGAGGGAAAATAAGGTCATTGGATTGCTTGTATCAATTATGCGAGATGAAATGGGATATATATATATATTTATCAGTAAAAGAAAAGAAACATTTTATTCATGCACACAGAAAGTACATTAAAATTACACCAAAACAAGAAAACCAAGGTGATAACATTGCCTCATCGCTAGCAAATCATATCCCGACTAGGATGTTACACTATCTTGTTATTGTTAGGGAAAATATATGATTCCCCACAAGTAAATCAATCAATGGGAATAAAAACTAATGTGAAAAAATTAAATCAAAAGTAACACAAGAATTTTTACGTAGTTCCCTCAATGTAAGGTACGTCCACGGGATCAAAATCTGATTCCACTATCAACCAAAGAGTTTCCAAACGATTACAAATGAGACACGAATGGTCTCACAAAATCGCCTTTAGGTGAATTCCAAATAATTACAAATAAACAAGAGGAAAGACCTCACCAAATAGATGAACCAAAATCATCAGAACCAGAGTTATAAAAGATCTAAAATAATTATCCCAAATCAACCGAAGCAGAGCAACAAGCCGAAGATGCACTGTGACACAATGTTTGAAAGCCCCAATGATATATTCCAAGCAACATAAAACAAAGCACAGCCACCAAATTGATGTCAATCAATATTAAGCCATTGCTGCCTTTTCACCAAGCCAAACGGCTGCCTCTATTGTTTTCTCACCAACCCAAAAATGAACAATAGCAACATATATATATGGTAAACTTGTGGGTTTTTTTTATCAAACCCTAATTGTAACCAAATTAGATTGGGTCTCCACAAATTAGATATAATATATAAAATATATTATACCTAAACCAAACCAATTGGGTCTCAAACTCCAATAAGGAGATATATCCCAACAATTCTCCCCTTATCGACTTAGGTGGAGATATCAACCATACTCGCCAAAGTTCGACACTTTAAATGTTTGTGCCTCGACAAAGTCTTAGTCAACATATCCAAAATCTTATCATCCGTGTAAACCTTTTCGAGTTGTAACAATTTAGAATCTAACACATCACGAATCCAATGGTATCTTACATCAATGTGTTTCGATCTCGAATGAGAAGTAAAATTTTTACTCAAATGAATAGCACTTTGGCTATCACAATAAAGCACATACTTTTCTTGCTTCAAACCCAACTCTTGCAAAAATTTCTTCAACCATAACTCTTCTTTGCAAGCTTTAGTAATAGCAATAAATTTAGCTTCGATGGTTGAGAAAGCAACACATTTTTGTAATTTAGATTTCCATGCCACAGCTCCCCCTGCAAAAGTCATCAAATACCCCGAAGTAGATTTTCTAGAATCAACATCACCAGTCATGTCAGAATCCGTGAACCAATCAAGTATCGGCTTACCATCCCCAAAACACAAACACACATTCGAAGTCTCTCGAAGATATCTTAAAATTCATTTTACCATTGTCTAATGTTCTTTACCTGGATTAGAGAGAAAACGACTCACCATACTAACGGCATGAACAATATCCAGCCTTGTACAAACCATGGCGTACATCAAAGAACTAACTGTTGAAGCATTAGGAACTTTCAACATCTCTTCCTTGTCTTTCTCGCTTGTAGGACATTGATTCAAACTAAACTTGAAGTGACCCGCAAGTGGACAACTAACCGGCTTTGCTTTATCCATGTTGAACCTCTCAAGAACTTTCTCAATGTAGCTTTCTTGAGACAACCAAATCAGCCCCTCTTTGCAATCATAAACAATTTTCATACCAAGTATTTGCTTTGCCGGCCCCAAATCTTTCATAGCAAAATATTTGCTCAACTCTAATTTCAACCTGTTAATCATAGTGTAATCTTGACCCATAATTAACATGTCATCAACATAAAGCACAAGAATAATAAATTTACCATCCGAAATTTTTTTCACAAACACACAATGGTGCGAAGTGGTTTTGGAAAAACCATTATTTATCATGAAGGAGTCAAATTTTTTGTACCATTATCGCGGGGCTTACTTGAGGCCATACAAACTTTTCTTCAATTTGCAAACAAATTTCCTTTTTTCACAAAACCTTCTGGTTGCTCCATGTAAATTTCTTCTTCAAGATCACTGTGAAAAAATGCGGTCTTCACATCAAGTTGCTCAACTTCAAGGTTCATACCTGCAGCCATGCCAAGTACAATCCAAATAGAAGACATCTTCACAACCAGCGAGAAAATCTCATCAAAGTCAATACATTTCTTTTGCCCAAAGCCTTTCACAACAAGACGTGCCTTATACCTCAGATTCTTGCCATCGTTCTTCAATTTGAAAACCCATTTATTTTTCAGAATTTTCCTCCCCTTAGGCAACTTCACTAAATCATAAGTGTGATTTTCAAGTAAGGAATTCATCTCGTCTTCCATTGCCTTTCTCCAATCATCTTTTTTTGTATGCTCAATTGCTTCTTGGTAGCTCTCAGGCTCCCCTTGATCAGACATCAACACAAATTCATTGGGAGGATACTTTTTCAAAGGTTGCCGGTCCCTTGTAGATTTCCTCAACTCAAGTTGTGATGGCGGTTCTTGAGTTGGATGTTCTTCCTCAATTTCTGGCTCAACTTCATTAGGATTAGCATTATCCTCTACATCTTCAATGGGTGACTGCATATCTCCTCCATTTTCATCATCAACTGAAAATGAAGGAGATGGATCCATATTAATGAAATCACTAGTTTTTTGCTCCGGTTGATCACCTTTGCCAAAGTCTTCAATTGTTTGGTCTTCAAGAAACACAACATCACGGCTTCGAATGACTTTCTTGTCGACCGGATCCTATAATCTATAACCAAATTCATCACGTCCATGGCCATGAAAAACACATTGTCTTGACTTACTATCAAGCTTGGACCTCTCATCCTTTGGAATGTGAACAAAAGCTCGGAAACCAAACACTCTCAAGTACTCACAAGACACATCTTTACCGGTCCAAACTCTTTCTGGAACATCACCATTCAAAGGATAGGTAGGAGACAAATTGATCATGTCAACCGCTGTTCTCATTGCCTCACCCCAAAAGGATCTTGGCAATTTAGCTTGTGAAAACAAACGCCTTGTTCTTTCCACAATGGTGCGGTTCATCCTCCCAGCAACACCATTTTGTTGAAAAGTCTTCTTAACTGTCTTTTGGTACCGAATACCTTGGCTGCGATAATACTCATCAAATGGCCTAATATATTCACCACCATTGTCTGATCGGATGCACTTCCATTTCTGCCATGTTTCTCTTTCAACCATGGCCTGAAAATGCTTAAATATTTCTAAAACTTAATCTTTAGTTTTTAGTAGAAAAGCCCAAATTTTCCTTAAATAATCATTAATGAAAGTAACAAAAAAAAGTGCACCACTATGTGCTCTAACTTTCAAAGGACCACAAACATCCGAATGAATCAACTCCAAAACATTTTCTTTTCTAGAAGCAACATTTTTATGAAAAGAAACTCTATGTTGTTTACCCGCCAAACAATGAATACAAGTTTTAAGATGTGTACCTTTCAAACCGGGTAGAAACTCTTTCTTGAACAAAACTTGCAGCCCATTTTCACTCATGTACCCAAGTCGCTTGTGCCACAATTCAGTAGAAGTATCATCTTCAAGTGCATTGACAACACCTTTACAAATTTTTCCTTGCATCGAATAAAGTGTATGAGTCTTCTTGCACTTAGCCACCACCAAAGAATCCTTTGTGAGCTTCCATATTCCATCACCAAATTTGTTGTTGAAGCCTTCATCATCTAGCTTCCCAGTAGAGATCAAATTGAGGCGAATGTCGGGAACATGCCTCACATCTTTAGGCAACAACTTGCAGCCCAAATTTGTTTCCAAGCAAACATCACCCATGCCCATAATCTTGGACAAACCTTCATTACCCATTCGAACAGAACCATAATCTCCTTTGATGTAGGTAGTGAAGAAATCAACTCAATAAGTCACATGAAAAGAAGCACCGGAATCAATCACTCAATTACTCTCTTGGCCTACAAAATTAACACAATCATCTTCACAAACGACCATGAGATCATCGGTAGTAACTGCCGTTGTGTCTTCTTACTTCTTATCGACACATTTGTCACGCATTTTCTCCTTATTCTTGAGCTTTCGGCATTCTCGCTTCATGTGCCCTTTCTCATGGTAATAATAGCACTCAATGTCTTTCTTTGAAAAAGAACCATCTTTTGATTTGTCATGGCTTTGATCACGACCATGAGGAGTCTTACTCCTCCGCCTTGTTTTACTCCGGGCTCTCACAACAAATGCTTCCGAATGAGAGGAACCCGCTGATTTTCTTCTAGTTTCTTCATTCAATAAGCTACTAGTGACTTGGCTCATTGTGACAACTTTATCAAGTGCCGAAGTACTAACCGCCACAACAAAAGTCTCCTAACTTTCGGGCAAAGAACTAAGGAACATCAAAGCCTATAACTCATTATCAAAAACAATTTTCATAGAAGCAAGTTGGTTAACAATACTCTTTATTTTATTCAGATGTTCCGAAATAGGGTTGTCCTCTTTATATTTTAAATTAGCCAACTTACGAAACAGAAAAGCTTTATTTGTGGCTGATTTCTTATCATAAAGGCCTTCTAATTTTTTCCATAAATCATGTGCCAAAGTTTCAGTAGCAACATGATGAAACACACTGTCATCAATCCATTGACGGATAACACTAACGGTTTTTCGATTAAGCCTATTCCATTCATCATCTTTCATACCCTCGAGTTTGTCACTGTCACCCTCAATAGGCCCATACAAACCTTTACAAAATAATAGGTCCTTCATTTTAGTTTTCCAAGTTACCCAATTATTTTCATTGAAGCTAGACATACGACCCACATTCCCCTTCATTGATTTACACAAATAATTAAACCCAAATA